GTTATGATTGATAAAGTGTGTTTGTTTGGTGAAAACCTTTGCTAGTGTTATGTAAGAATGCCTTAATTTGAGACATTACTGTAATGAAGTGTTTTGGTAGTTTTAGTGCATTTTGAATGTGAAATTAACTTCTGTGTCAAGCTGAAAGATGGTTAGGAGAACTGTTTCAAGAGTTTTGAAAAAGTGACTTTAGTATTGTATCCTAGCGATTGTAAAAAACTTAATTGATTGAGGAAATTTTTAAGCTAGTGTCAGATCAGAATCAAACGCAGCTCTCTTAAACACCTCATTGGGATCGAGCGTCAATGCTGAGACCCTCCAGTGACATTAATTAGAATAGATTAACAGAAAACTCCTTGTACTATAAATACGGGCATTAGCGAATGAACACATCCCTGGCCACAGTTCAGTCCCCGCACACACACGTTGGCCCGTAGGCCTCGTCGTTCTGAACCAGGGGAGTCATTTAAGGATGAACAGTTTAATTACAGAGCTAATAAGTGTTGCCACAGACTTTCTAATATTATTCTGGGAGAACACTAGCATGTCATTACCCTCCTCCCCCTGAGGAACATTTCCTATTAATCATAATGAGGAATTTGTTAGCGTGTGGTCATGTCAGTTGGGATCAATTTCTTTTACCTAAGCTTTCTATGAAGCTGCCAGATGCTTGGGACGGAGTGTGGAAGAGATCGATTTACAGTCCCGCAGCCATTAGGCCCTGTTTTGTTTTTGTTATTTGATAGCTCATTTGCATCAGCGCAGCAGCTGCCGAATGCGCATTGTAGTCGTTTGTTGACCCGCTTGCACAGACACTTTCTTGCTTTTCACACTAAAACTGTTGTTTATTTTAGGATGTAGCTGATGCCTGTGGCTCTGACGTTTGCTGATGGACTCTTGTGGTGTTTTTTGCTAATAATGTAATAATTTGTGTAAGCAACATATGCAGTCAGGCTGTCAGATTTTAGAAAAGCAATTTACACTGGCTGTGCTTTTATTGGTCATGTAATGGCACCTCAAGCTCTGAAGGAAAAGCTACAGTGACACAAAATGGCTCCCAGCTTGCCACAAGATTGAGAAACAGTAGTTCACACGAATCAAGGAAAACCTCAGTCATAATCGACCTGTACAGCTCACGAAATGGAGTTCGCACATTTGCCGGGGTTTGCTCCGAAAGCGCGTTCGGCGTGTGGGTGAAGGAGAGTGTTGGCCAACTGTTGCTGGATGGATTTGGTGTCAGTTTGATGGGTTTAGCTCTGAGCTTTTTCAGCTAAGGCCGCCTCACACTTTCCACTGGCACATTCATATGCAAATAGTGTCTGATAGAGGGTAAGAGCTAAGCAGATAGAACAGTGGACGGACACTGAGAGAGACATGTGAAAGGTCACGGCAGTGAGAAACTAGAGAATCTTTATAAAAAGGGATATGGTATGAACGGCTGCGTCTCGAACCTTGTTATAAATAACTGGCTGCCATGGGAGTGGGAGACAGTGGTGCTGAAATGAGGAATGAAGTTTTATTAATCAACATAACTGGGAGTAGAACCAGACGCAAGCAGTTTTGCAGTGCTGTATTTACTGTTAAAGCGTATTGTTTTGGAAACATACGGGGGGGGGAAGGTTAAATAATTAATTATACAATACCAAAAAATACCTATTCCTGTATTTTTACCCACAATTTTATCCCAAATGTATGCTGTTTATGCTTGTTAGAGTACTGAGGATAGGGAAATATTGAAATCTCAAAAACTGCTTATAAAATCTGACATGAACTGTCCCATAAATGTTGTTTTTTTATCCTTAAAAAGCATATATTTCAGGTCAGTCCTGCCAATATGCATATTCATTCCAAAGTGCAAGTCTCAGGACACTGACTTTTTCTATGGGATTTCAATTGGCATCTGACTTACTCGGTCTAAAATCAATAACTGCAGCATAGCTTAAAAATTATATGCTTTTTCAACATTTTGAAACATTTTCTCATTGTTATGAATATAGGCTTATGACTAGGTTGTAGTGGTGTTTCAGAAAACAGCACATTTCATAGTTTAAGAATAGCCACATCTTAGATCAGCCTGATCACATTAATCACAATCAATAAGCTAGCATGAAATTAACTGTCATCCGTGTGCAAAAACCAATCAGATCGGCCCATCAACTCACACACTTAAAAGGTCGCAATGTGATAGGCTTTCATTAGGATTATTGCCATTTCATTTCCATAGAATTATCTCGAGCAGGCATAATGAAATGAGATGTGCTGCTCGGATGAACAGAAATACAAACATTCAGCCAGTGACAGGCGTCAGCCACGGGTTTCCTCTCTCACTCGGTTTACTCTCCTTCGTGACACCCTCTCTCATTCTTTCGTAACACTCAAATAAGTGTCTTGGATCTCTGTTAATGACAACCCTGTCAGGGACCGATTGCTGAGAAAGCCATTCCCTCACAGCCAACTTACAACATATCTGATTTCTGCTTTTGATATTAATCAGTTATTTTTCATGGGTTTTTAAGGAAGTGGAGCAGATGTAAATTGGCGGTTATTTGTCAGGCAGGCGTGTGAGCAGAATCTGTGTGTGTGTGTTGCTGAGTGGACGGTAGCAGGCAGCCAGTGTGGGCTGCTATAATTTCCCAGGTGTGCTGCACAGCTGGGTCACAGGCTCGTTCTCCTTCATCACACAGTTAACCTGCACTGACTCAGCTGAAGCTGCTTTGAGCATCCTCAGCAGGTGAATGCACAAGCTGCTTGTTTATTGTAAAAGACACACTGGTTCTGATCTGATTGATTGCTCTTTGTCATGTAGGTAGAGTAGATGGATTAACGGTTCTGGTTTCATAAACATTTCTTATTAAAACTCAAGAACAACTCTAAAGTCAACATGAAATACCATGTGCAACCCATTTTACTTCTGTAATCTGACGTATTTCTGAGTGAAACAGGATATTCAATGAGAAAAAAGGCTTGATTTTCTCCATCTGGAATTAATTTACATGCAGGTTACATGCCAGAACAGAGCCAAATTGTTGGAAGGAAAAAAAGACAAGTTGTTTCAGAAGTGGAGCATTTTATTACATTTTGATAAAATTCAAAAACCAAGCACAAAACTTATTTTGTTAAATTTATATTTAATATTTAAAATCTATAAATATATTTAATTATATATTATTATTTATATTACATATTGTCATATTGATATTTTTAAGTTTCATTAAATAGATACTAAACAAATGTGATATTTAAACATTTTTTATAATAAAAGCATTGACAAACCTTTTCTTCTGTTTGGAATAATATGCACCAATAAATCATGCACAATAAGACCAGGAAGTAGGGTTGTGATGTTGATGAAATTTTCCCACCGGTGAATCAACGTGAGGGGGTCATTGGAGTTTTCCCTCTTTTCCTCGTTTTCCTTCGCTTTTAAATAGCTTATAAATGCCCATGCACATTTTACTGTCAAATTAGCGGCAATTCTGCATCAATTGCTTGAATGGACAACAACAAAACAGTACAATAACAAACTCACTTATATTAAACATAGTACTTTTATTATCAAAATGAATAAAATACACCATGCTATAGGCCTTATATAAAATAACAAATAACTTACACAAAGTTTAAATAAAAAAAAACGGAAAATCACCAAACACTGTAGAAACAAATAAATAAGAAATAGGCTATAGAAAGTTTATTAGCAAAACGAATACGGAAGTTGGAGACACGGCATACACCTTGATGTAAAATAAAATACATAAATTACACAAAGTTTAAATAAAGTAAAAATCAGCAAACACTGTGGAACCAAATAAATAAGAAACAAATATATATTTTTTAAACTTCCAAAATCAACTTGGATAAACGCCAAACATCTGCTTTTGCATTTCGTTTCGAAACTAAATCCTCAGCCATCGTCTATCTCACCTCAGTCTTCTTGTCAGTCAGCTCGACTCACTCTCCTCACGTGATAAATTAAATCTGACTACTGCTGTTGATCTGTGAAGCGACTGTCGTTCGGCACGCTACATTGAGCAGCCGAGTTCAGTTTTTAATTGTAGTGTGTCTGTCTCTAAAAGAACTAAATTATTTTTGTTACTATAACACTGTCAACACAACGACTATCACAGCAGGAAGATGAATTAATTAAATATTGTCCATTTTTATTCCATGCTGTCTGTAAAGGTGAAGCATGTCTTTTCTACTCCCAGCAGCAGCATCAGAATTGCAAAAATAACAACTCTGTTTGGTGCTGCTACTGGTATAGAAAATGACACACTTCATTTTATCCTGATTATGGTTAGCCAATAATAAAATCTTACATTCTCTGAGAAAAGGTACAAAACTGCCACTGTGGTGGTTCGCTTTCAAAAGGTACTAATATGTACACTTTAAAAGTACATATTAGCACCTATTATGTATCATTTAGGGGTAAATAAGGTGCAGAGATGTAACTTTTGTACCTTAATGTACTGCCCCAGTGACAGCTTTGTACCTTTTTTTATGAGAACATAGTCCAACATTTTTTAATTTAATCAGCCAATACTGTGAGCACAATGAGTACATTTCATACTGATTGAATGGTCCGTTGGTAAAATAAGTTAAAATGATGATTTCACAGGTTTTTGTGAGTTTCTGTCTGTGGTGGGACACCTGGGCCTGTACAGTCTCAGGTCTATTCTTGTGTGGGCTCATCAAACTCACATGACTCCCTCCGTTTTATTCCACTGTGCACATAAAAGCATTTAATTCACCCCCCTCAACCAGCAACTTTAATTACCACTGTACTAATTACATTAAATCACTGACATCTCCATCTGATACGGCAGGGACTTCAAATACTAATTGTCTTTGAGACCTGCGTTTTGGGAAGAAAGCACTGCACAGAAATACCAACCGCATGTTCTGTGCCTCTGTCTCATTCTGTGGCTCGTATTGTGTGTCAAGCGAACATTTCTGACTGTTTATTTACTGTTTTTTCTCCTCTCTCTGTCTGTTTGCAGTACGACAGTGAAAACATGTTCATGAGTATGCCAGAGCCCAGCCAGGACTTTGTGCCAGGGAACCAGGTGGGTTAATTACTGCTCACTCCTTTTGTTTTAAGTCGTAATTAAACAAATTTAAGCCGGCACATCGCAAATTAGAGCCGCTATCAGTCGCCACCATAATCAGGGGCTACTATAACATGTAAACAAAACATTTGATGCTTTGTCTCAGCTTAATGAAATGAAGCTTAAATGCATATTGTCGCAGGCTTTCATTTCCTCCATTTACACTTTCATTAAAAACTACACACATATAGTTTATAAAAGGCAGACTGCAGCGTTTCTGAGCAATGGTCCTCTCGTTACGGCCGTTACTCACTGAGGGAAGTTTATTTCAGGATACTTGTGCTTGTTCGAACAACCAAGATAAAAGGCTGTTTCATCAGTGACTCAAGCTAGATAGTTCAGCACACCTTGCTATAAAAAGCACAGCTTGATTAAAATTTTAAACTAAAGCATGCAATTCGGTGCATTAAGGTCAAGAGTGAACATGCCTGCTTGAGGAGAGCAGATTGTCTTAGGGGACCTTTTACATCTTTGGCTAATAAATTACGACTACAGGTTAATTAGCGCCCCTCAGGACACCTGCCACATTCTGCTGTATGGAAATGAATGTGACAGGCGGCCCGATGCACCGTAGACAGACTGATCATGTGTGCAAGTGCCAAATTGGAACTAGGATTTTTTTCCCCGCAGTATTTCTCCCCGCTAGTTTTATCAGCCTGCAGCAGGCTATATATGATGTTGCTGCTCTATTAAAACGTTTCCTTCCTGCTTTTGTCATGAGCTGTTTGGGTTTGGTCTGTTTTTATAGACGTATTGATCTGAACTATGTGCTTGCATTCCATGAAATTTAAGCAAGCTACATTTTGACATTTCAAACTTCGACTGCTATACACAATGGGATGCTGAAATATTACTCAAGGTTACAAACAACTTTTCTGTACAGTGCCTTGACGCAGTAAACACAATGAAAGCACTGAATTCAATCTGTTTGTGGATCACAGAGTTTGGGCTTTAATGTGTAATGTGCAATAGCTCCTGCTCTGAAATAACCCCCTCCCTCCCCATCTCACTTCTGTTTTTCTTATTACAAGTTGAAAAAGTGTTATGAATAATTCTTCCATTTGCAAAAGTCAATTTAATAATGAAACACGTTTTAAGAAAAAACATCTCCTGTCTTTTGGTTTGACATAAGTAACGTTTAACAGGTCTCTGTTCTGCTGAAATGTGTGAAGGTTCAATTCACACCTTTCTCACGCAAGTCAAAAATGATTATTTAAACTCAATCATGAACACATTTACTTGTGGTTTGACTAAAGAGGACAATTAGTCAAACTGCATTTTTTAAAATAATGTAATATAATATAATAAAATAAAATAAGCAACAACAACAACAATAAATTATTATTGTTAATAATAACAATATTGTCCATATGGTTTGGCAGCCTGCTCAAAACATCTCCTGTCTTTTGGTTTGACATAAGTAACGTTTAACAGGTCTCTGTTCTGCTGAAATGTGTGAAGGTTCAATTCACACCTTTCTCACGCAAGTCAAAAATGATTATTTAAACTCAATCATGAACACATTTACTTGTGGTTTGACTAAAGAGGACAATTAGTCAAACTGCATTTTTTTAAATAATGTAATATAATATAATAAAATAAAATAAGCAACAACAACAACAATAAATTATTATTGTTAATAATAACAATATTATAATTTAACATAGCAACTAGCCAGTTGGAGTATTACTGATTTTAAAAAATGAACTATTCTAATGTAATATAATATAATATAAACAAGTAACTATTCAGTCAAATCTAACCTAATCTAATCTAATCTAATCTAATGTCAGTGGGCAATTAATTATATACTGATCTATATATTATATATATTTGGTTATATATTATATATATTTATGGTTGGCTGCAAAGCTGTTACTTGCCATTCACTGTCTAGTCAAGTGTTTTAAATGTGCGTGACTAACTATGATGTCATGTTGAAGTCACATGATTCACTCTGGGTTTTGTGCTTGAAAAACATATAAACACAGTACATATACATAATCTTATGTGAGTCCTAAAAGCTCTTCAATAAGCATTCACAGTGCATTGTAATATAGAGAATTAGTGAGAATTACAGTCTAACCCGAAGGCTATAGAGAGTAAGCACAGTGGTGTTATGGCTTTCAATAGCAAGAGGAAAAATAAATAAATGATATTTGACTCGTGTATTATTCAGCACGCTATGGCAAATGCATTCAGGAGAATGTAAAGGAAAGTGCACTAAATTGCAGGTCACTTGTTTGTTTCATGGAGTTTATACCTCTTTAAACAGGAAAAGCTGCATATGGTCCTATTGTGCCACCCATTACATAGTCTGAAATTGATTTACAATGTGCATTGTCTGCATTGTACATTCCCGGTCACTGTGTTTAAGGTGCTAACGCTGCATGTTTGCTGCAGCTTTAATGTTGGTGGAGATGAAAGATGCATTGAGAATATAAAGCAGCATAGAGGCAAAAAAAAAGGATTGAAGAGTGATGAAAGTTGAATAGAGTCTTGCATGTACTATCGTTTCTTGTTACCCTGCTGTGTCGGTTGACCCCTTGGCCTTGCATCCCACTGTAGTTCCGCGTGCCTGCCAGTCCCAGCCAGACGCACCACAGCAACAAACAGGCCGGCGGCCACTGGAAAAGAGACAACCCTACACACACGGACGGCCCCCGTCTGACATGGGTAAATAACCCCACACCAACACCGAGCAGACGTCCATCAGTGCAAAATAACAGCAGCTTACATCATTTGTGTGTTACATGCTGTGTGTTTCTCCTCCATATGGACCCTTTTTACATTTACACAATTTTTTACATTAACACTTTGTTAAAATAAGTTAAAATCAGACACCATAGCAAATGCCCCTTTTGTCTTAAATACAAAAGAAAGATTTGTTTTTTTAAAAATTAAGTTACTTGACATTCTAAAAGATGAAATATATTAAAATATTAATAGAGCTTATATAGAGATTATATAATATTAAAAGATTAATAGAGAGAGAGAGATGACAACAATTTACTTTCAATTCCTGTATTTGAAACTGTATGTGATGATGCTATAGTATAACATAGCATATGTGACCCTGCACCACAAAACCAGTCATAAGGGCCAATTTTTCGAAATTGAGATTTATGCATCATCTGAAAGTGGAATAAATAAGCTTTCCATTGATGTATGGCAGGACAATATTTGGCTGAGATACAACTATTTGAAAATCTGGAATCTGAGGGTGCAAAAAAATAAAAATATTGAGAAAATCGACTTTAAAGTTGTCCAAATTAAGTTCTTAGCAATGCATATTACTACTCAAAAATTAAGTAATAATATTTTTACAGTAGGAAATTTACAAAATATCTTCATGGAACATGATCTTTACTTAATATCCTAATAATTTTTGGCATAAAAGTAAAATCAATCATTTTGACCCATACAATGTATTTTTGACTATTGCTACAAATATACTCCAGCGACTTAAGACTGGTTTTGTGGTCCAGGGTCACATATTAGCATAACAACATTTCTTACACAACAGGAATATGAAACACACTAGCTAGCTAGAATATACCCATCTATTTTACAATTGAAATGTTGTCAGTAATCTTGGTCGCTAATGCTAATTTAGAGAATGTTGTGTAGCGACCCCCTAAACTCCTTTGCAGTACTGGCTACTTAGCTAGATTTTTTATTAATTCCAAGGTAATACAACAAAGGGCACTTATATGAATATACATTAAACTATGTACATTAAGAGAGAGAAAGAAAAATAGCTAACCAGCTAGTGAAAGAGAAAAATGCATCAAAGTCTGTGAAAAGGGTCATTTGTACTGTATGCCCATTGTACACATGTATGAATAGGATTGCTGTAATCTTAGAGCTGCTTTGAGTCTAGCACTACTTTTATGTTTCCCTTTGAATGTTAAAACTTCCTCTTGCTTATGAGCTGCAGTCTCTATTTTCTGCTGTTTTCGTGCGTCCTTGCATCTCTCTCTCTCTCTTTCTTTCTTTCTCAAGACAGACTTCTCTCTTTCCCTCTGTTGGGAACAGGTAATTACTTTTATTGGCAACAACAGTTGAATTCACCTTGACCTCAGTGTGTGGTACGTAGCCACAAAGCTTTCTCCTGCCTTTAAACACACATTAACCAAATTAGAGAGAAGTGTACCCCTGTGCCTATTTTAAACGTCACACTCAGGAAGCTACAACTGCAGCTGAAAAGCCTCCGCAGCTCCAGCGCTAAAGGCAAAACATGTACTGCAATTGTGTCTTTTAATCTGCTCTATAATACAAGCCAAAGGCAACCTGGAGAGCGGCCAAGGCCAAGTGTGAGGATCATGGCTATTATATGAACGGTTAGAAAAGTACTTTTGGTTTGATCTGATAGTTTTTAGGTTGATTTTAAAGATCTAAAGTCTGCCGTGGTCAGTGCACTTGTATGAACAGCACTGTTACTTTCATAGCCGGTCCTCAGAGTGATTGGTGAGATCAGTGATGTTGGGTGTACCGTTACAGATGTAATTTATGTGCAGAGATACTGTAACTAAAGGTGGCTCTTCAGATGGATGCAGTTGAAAGAGCAAAACATCATGGACAGTATTTTTTAAATTGGGATTTTGGAGGTGTGGTGACCGTAAGATCTTGTAATGATCTTGAATGACAAAAACTAGACTGGATCAAACATGCAAAATTGAATGGATAGACAAATAAACTGCTTAACTTTTTTCAGTCACACTTTATTTTAAGATCCAATTCCCGCTATTAACAAACCATTAACTACAACTTTTGCCTCAATAAACTCCTAATTTGCTGCTTATTAACATTTAGTAAGGTAGTTGTTAAGTTTAGGGTATTGGGTAGGATTAGAGATATAGAATATGGTCATGCAGAATGTGTGCTTTATAATAATAATAAATAATGATAATATATTTTATTTAAAGGCGCCTTTCAGAGCACTCAAGGACACCGTACAGTTGAGTGATAATCATAAAATCAAGACAACAATACAACAAACAACTACTACTGACATTAAATAATTAAAAATTTATCAGAGAAAGCTAATTTAAGACATGATTTAAAAGTAGTCAGACAGTCTCTTTCTCGTATAGATTGTGGAAGAGAATTCCAGAGATTAGGAGCAGCACAACTAAAGACCCCATAGTGGCTAAACAAACAGAAGGTACAACAAGCGAAACAGATGAAGAAGATCTGAGAGTACGCTTCGGGATGTAAATATGAAGCAAATCAGAAGAGATATTGTGGTGCACAATGATGAAGAGCTTTAAAAGTGAGAAGTAGAATCTTATACTCTACTCAATATTTAACAGGAAGCCAGTGAAGATGGTAGAGAACTGGAGTGATATGCTCGATGTAGGAGGTTCTAGTAATTATACGGGCAGCTGAATTCTGGACCAATTGAAGTTTGTGAAGGAGTTTGTAAGGTAGCCCAAAGAGAAGAGAGTTACAATAATCAATGTGCGAGGTAACTAGAGCATGTACAAGAATAGCTGTGGAATTTGGTGTGAGAAATGGACGAAGGCGGCTGATGTTATAATAACAGCTGATTAGTATAAGTACTAATAAACAGCCAATATGTTAATAATAGGCATGCTAATAAGCAACTAGTTAATAGTGAGAATAGGTCCCTATACTAAAGTGTTACCCTTTTTTCTTGTCCCTCAAATGAGGTGAAACACCATTCTGGCCCTTGATGTATCTGAAAAACAAAATATAAATATTAGGCTATGAGGAACTAGTTATCATTAATAAGCCAGTTTTTGTATTGACACACACCTCGAAGTCTCCGTTAAAAAAAACTAATAAATACATAAATAATAATAAAAAAGTAACAGTTTGATGTTGCCCAAAAAAAAAGATATAGTTCATTGTGCCATAGTGGGGAATGTCACAAAACATGGGGTAAGTTGTCATCAAAACAGAAACAATATGTATGTTCAGAAGGGTATGGTGTACATTATTCAACATGCATGAATGTAAAGGTACCCCAGTTTCATTGGTAGTCCCTTTGCCAGATGTTATTAGGCATAAAACTAAAAGGAATACTAGTAGTAATAATGATAATAATAATCATCATCTTTTAAAATCATTTCAATTATGTGACAACTTGCCCCAACATGTCATTTATGAAAAATACCCTTGGTCTAAGAACACAGTTAACATTTTCTATTAAAATCTGCCTTCAGTATATAGTTAAATCTTGTCAGAATGCTTGACAATGGTTTGATTGTGTTTACATCTTTACTCTCGGTTTAGTAGACAGAATTGACAGAAATTATTTGAATGTAAGGGAAATTTACTGAGCTGATGATGAGAGGGACTTTTTATAAAGGAAACGGGCATGTGTTAAAATGACATTTAAAAACTGCTGTTAATCTCTTGGGTGAAATCTGCCTGACTTTTTTCCATCAAAACATTCCCACTGACTCACAACACTTTTGAAAACCTCGTAGCTGCTTGAAGTGACAAAATGTGATACTGTTATCCATCTGAACATCTCTGGACATGGAGATCCGTTGCTCTCTGAAAGACATAACAATAATAACAGCCTACAAAAAAAGACTGAATCAATGAGATGTTAAAATACACAGAGCATTCATCAGCCAGACTGCACCTCAGCACTGTCTGTCTGCACACAGCTTCTCTCCTATCTTAGCATCTCCTCTCATTCCCCCTTCTTCCAACCCAAACCATGTGTTTCTTGGCCATTAAATAAAAGCCGCATTTATTAACCCAAAATGGCTGGAGTGCTGAGCGCATGTCAGCCCACAAGTGCTCTGTATCAACGTTTATTTATTTTAATGCAGCAGCAAGATGAAGTAGTGTGAGCCAGCGATGCTAGATAAAACCGACTACAGCCGAACACTAAAAATATACACACTTCTCATATTTCTGGACTACGCTCAAAGACACTACTTGTGAAAGTGCCCACTTTGACTCACAGAGCAAGCAATGTTTGCCTAACAACTGTTGGTTTTTGTATAAACCTGATTAGACTGATGTGTAACATCACATTCGGTCGGTTGAAATGGTCTGATCTGTGTTATAGAAGATGCAAAGCAGCATTCAGGAAGAGTATTTGATATTAATACTATACTTAACTATAAGAGCAGCACAGATACAATATGTTACACTCTTAAAAATAAAGTTGCTTCACGATGCCATAGAAGAACCTTTTTGTCTAAATGGTTCCATAAAGAACCTTTAACATCTGAAGAACCTTTCTGTTTCACAAAAGGTTCTTTGTGGCGAAATAAGGTTCTTCAGATTATAAAAAGGTAAGAAAGAGATGGTTCTTTAAAGAACCTTTGACTGAATGGTTCTTTGTGGAACCAAAAATGGTTCTTCTATGGCATCACTTGAAGAACCTTTTGAAGCACCTTTATTTTTAAGAGTGTATTTGTTTCTTGCACAGAATGTATTTGCCTACCGTGATGGTTTGACGTGTATATAGTCTCTGAAGAGGAGGATTGTCAGATTTCTGTGTGGGTTTATATAGAGGTGCTCTTATCTCTATCCGTCCCCCCCCCAATGTTGCAGAGCTCTTGTGGGACCAGGAGAAAGCTGTGCATTTTAAACATGCATGAACTAACCTTGTGCTTTCTCCTGGGAATGAAGAGGCCCGTTCTTACATGTGTTTTTTTAGTGTAATTCAGATATATAATTTTTTTTCTCTTGAGCCAAACCCATGTTCTTCATACACAACATATTTATAGAATACTTTAACAGAATCAGATCTTAAATACTATTTCTAGCATTGTTTTTCACATAGTATGCATTATTCAGATATTCATGAGTTGCATATTCATGCATGCATGAGCCTTAAGCTGCTCAAAGGCATGGAAGCAGCATGCCGGACAGGGAGTGGTCGTTCATGGACCGTGCCAGTATGCTTTGATCCCGTTCGGTTTATAAGACGCGCCGGGTGTGATGCCGCGGTTCGGGTCAGATGAGGCTTCACACGCCCTCATGTCCCCTCCATTAGACAAAGTAAAAACCTCCTCCAGAATGCTTGACCTTGATGCTAGCACAAGACAGACAAGCCCTTCTGCAGTTATCCAGAAGCTCTCAACAGTAATCAGCAGCTCAGCGGGTCTGAGGTTGTTTTGGGGGCCCAGCCAAAGAATGTTGCATTCAAATGATCACTGCCCCTGGGTCCCAGAGGTATTCATTACAGGCTGCATTGCATTTGTTGCCTCTCTCACACAATCCCAGCCTAGATGGCAAATGAAAAGCCGTTTGAAAAAAGGGCACCTTATTAAGTTTAACTACTGTAGCATTTAACCTGACATCTTCATTATTCAAAATTATGTTATGAAAAAGTCGCCTCATCTGCAGGCACAGGTTACCATTGTTTACGCTTCCTTTTGCTGTTCTCTGGCAATTTAATTGGTGGAAGGGCATGACAACATGTTGGAGCACTCCTCGTGCTGCATGGAGCTCTGGGTAATGATCCACAGCCAATCCTGGAGTGAACATTTAAATAGAGTAGGTTTATTTCTGAAAGTCAATTTCTGCAAAGGCAAATACCTTAAAGTGTTGCCTAGAAAAAAAAAACCTTTTGAAGAGTTGCACTGCTAATGCCTAAGAAAAAAGACACAGATGGTTTAACGCTCATTGACATGTTTGCCCCAATACTGAATATTGTCTCACTCTATGGGGTAAATTGTCACAATGCAAATGCCATTTCACCGTCAATTATAGGCTTTCAGCAAAATTTTAACAGTAAAACAATTATAAAACACAAAATAATGCAGTGAATCAGCAGTTGTAATTGTAATATTATTGTAAAAAATTTTTTTGCATGTATTTAAAATGCATGTGACTTGCCAGAATGCAGTTTTAGAATATAAAATTCACAACAAATGTATTATTAATGATAGTAATAATTAAAAATTGATTATTATTATTAAGATAATTAATACATTTATTTTTCTATATGTAGACATATTTTATTTTATTTATCTTGTTTATTAATGTATTTTATTACTACAGTTATTAAAAAAACTATTATTGAATATTGGAGAGATTTCCACTAGGTGTTTGAAACCAACACACAAAACCACAGCTAGAGATAAAAACACATTTGATTTAAAACCTTATACTTACTGAGATACAGCTTCCCCATGTGACAACTAGCCTGAGTCTCACTCATCCATCTAAATTGCATTTCGATCAGAATGCATCTCTCAAATTTGTTTTAATGCATTTTGTGGCATAATGATGGGGCGTATCTCTTATCTCAAAATGCATGTTTTCTCATCCACCTCGTATCTCAGAACGTGTGCACTTCTTTCATAATGACGAGCTGATTTACGCCTGTCAAGATGGAAGGCTTATAAACAATCTCCATTGTGAGGCTGCAGTAATTAAATGCGTAATTTCTGCTGGTGAAGCATTTCTGCCACTCACTCAATATACTGTGTTAAAAACACAAGAGCTCTCTTCATATCTTTCCACACTCTTGCTCTCATTTTTTCCTTATTGTCAGTGTAAACCACATCAGATACATGACTATTCCTCCAGTTTATTCCTCTCTCCCCCTCCGCTGTGAAGCTTTGATTGACTGCTGACTGTGAAGTCGCCCATAGACAATGATTCCATACAGCCATCATGACCATCATCAGTAATTGATAGTAGATTTAAATGACTCTCCTGCTCATTTGCCATTCATCTCCCACCAGTCCCATTACCCTTGTGCTATTGGACAGGCAATCACCTCCCTGAGAGATTTGTTGTCCAGTCGAAATGATGTCACACGAAATGGGCAAGGACTTTGCATGTTGTGGATCTCAAAACTTGTCGTTTTTTTTCCTTCCCCTACTTTGCATTCAGGGTCGGTGCTACCTATAGGCAGAGCAGGCAATTGCCTAGGGCCTCGGGCTTTGAGGCGGGTCCTCCATAACCATAACATCCTCTAAACGCTAGTCCACCAGTCAAGACAAAATGCTAAAAAAAACCTAAAAATCTATTTTTTAATTTTTTTTAAACAACTTTATAGTCATCAAAAAATCCTGGAAAACATATCACAGGTTATAAAATAAATATTCAGCAGCACAACTGTTTCTAACATTGATAATAAATCAGCATATTAGAATAATTTCTGAAGGATCATATGACTATAAAAATTCAGCTTTGCATTAAAGTGTACTAAAATAGAAAAACAAATAAATGCAGGCTTGATGAGCATAAGAGACTTCTTTCAAAAACATAAAAAATAGTAATGTGTCCAAACTTTTGACCGGTGCTGTATAAGTAAAAATATACACAATTTAAAATGAAATGTTGTATAAATAAAAAGGCTAGGAATCATATTTGTTTCAAGTGCTTTTTATTGGGGGTGGGGGGTCTCCAACATGAATTTTGCCTAGGGCCTCCAAATATCTAGAAACGGCCTTGGTTTGCATGCAATGAGAACGAGGGTTGTTGGGAAACTATGTGTCATCCAAAGTCCTGATTTACACAGAAATTATAGTTTTTCTTCAATGTTTCGTTTATTGCTAAATGAAAAGCAAGTCTTTTAGAGGAAAACCGCACAACTAAATTATGTTAAAATGATACATAGCGATCTGAATGTAACTGGATCCTTAGAAGGTAAAAAAGAGAGGGATCGTTCGAGTCGAATCAGAGGTTGAGGCATATTTGTGGTTAGCGTTTCGTGAAGCGTTCGGCACGGTATAGATAACAAACTCTCTGCCTTCTGATAGCTGTATATATTTTTCTACAGTATTTTACTCTAAGAGAGAGTGTTTACAGAATAATTTATGATTTTGCTTGGATTTGTACAGCCTTTCATCTCCTTATCTGCTTTACATCTTTTTCATCACAGTCTACACTGACAGGGGCTGGAGGAGGCAGCCAAAGCAAACTTCACAGCCAAGCGCAAGTGACTGTTTAGCCTCATAAAAACAGCCTTTTGTTATAGTCTAATGAGACTGATTGACCATTTGCATATAATTTTACTTCCTCAAAGGCTCAAATAGCAGGAATGAATCACTGTAATGTGCAGCACACTTTGATGTACTTTATTCAGCATTTCATTTGCTGCGTATATAGTTGTGATTAGTCTTTTTTCTGTTAGTGATACAGCATGAATCATTGCTGTTGCTGGATCGCTTCAGTGGCAGGCTATAGAACATCAAAGAATGTTGGTTTTCAACAAGATTTTTCTGTTTGTGTCGTAACCCATTTCATTCTCTTATTTATAAGTATCAAATGGACAGTCTGTCCTTGTTCTAGCCTACGGTTCACCCCCCATTGTGCAGTATTTCAATCAATCTAAATGTTTGGAAAGCCTTTGCCTTTGGAGACTCTCTGACAAGAATGCTCATTGCGTTCACTCGCTTTCCCATTGAAAAGTTGAAATGTGCTTTTTGTTGTGATATTTTCAATGTGATAGCATTTTATTAGATTCTATTGTATTTACCTCTGAATAAATGATAATAGATGAGAAAATGCACCGTATTCATCATCACTAATGACTAGTCAGTCATAAATGAATCATCTTTTGAAAAAGATGGTTTTGTCATGCAGCCACCATATGTAATCAGCCAATCAGTGTTCTGAAAGGTCACGTAACCTCTGTCTACTGTCTCTCTGTTCATCCCAGCAGTCCTACCCAGTGCCCAGTCTTGGGGACGAAGACTATAACATCCCACCCATCACACCCCCCACCCTTCCCGAACACATGCTGGCACACTTGCCCGAGTCTGAGTCCGGAACGTACCATCACCTGTGCCCCCCTGTCTCCCAGAATGGACTGCACCACTTTCACCTGCAAGGAATGGACCTGCCGGGCATGTCGGTCCCCAACATGTTGGGTCAAGATGGTGGCCTGCTCACCAACTCCCTCTCAGTGGTGAGTACTGGCGCTCTCTGACTTAAGATCTGGGGCTGATAATCCAACTAATTATGGGATAAAGTTTCAAATAAGTAGTAGTCACATTGTGAGATATAAAGTCACAATTATGAGAAATAAAGTTGCAATTGCGTGAGTTAAAATCACACTGAGACATATAGTCACATTATGAGTTATAAAGTGACACTGTGAGATATAAAGCAGCATTTGTGAAATATATAGATGCAGTTGAGAGATATGAAGTCACATTTTGAGATAAATCACGTTGTAGTTTATAAAGATAAAATTACAAGAAACAAAGTTGCAATTTGTGAGAGTCACAAGTGAGAGAAAAAAATTACAGTTAACTTATGTTATTTTTATTTTTACCCTGAGGTGGAAATGTGCTTCCATATAACCTAGTATGAAAAATTTCCCAAAACACAGTTTCTTTCTGTGTTGAGGAAACTTCATTGTAATATGTACATGCTCTCCTTTGAGATGTCACTAATGCATTACGCAACACCAAAGTCGTTTCAGTGCCCAAACAATGATTTAATTGACACAAATGAAACACCTCAACAGATATTATAAGAGGTTGGAGCGGCATATAGAATGATTGAGATAGCACCCAGCAAATGAGAGCTAATGTGATTTAACACACAGTGAAACAATGCCAAATTCCCCATTGGATTAAGTTAATTAAATATAATTTAGCATCAAGGCACTCCTCCTAATGCATTCTGCTTGCCATGTAGCTGAACTAGATAGTTGTATAATATATTCAGAAAATGTAGATACATTTTAAAAACTTTTGAATAAGAAGAATAAGGTTAAGGCAAACTAAAAATAAATGTTACAATTGAATCTTAAAAAAAAAAATCTGAATAATATGGTTAAGAATTAAATTAAAATAAATGTTACAATATAGTATTGTATACTATACAATTGAATTATTATAATATGTAAAATATTACATATATACACACACACATATAATATTAGCACATATTACATAGTATATATAGTTACAAAATGTTGTGTGTGATGTGTGTATATATATATATATATATATATATATATTAGATGTAATATTTTATATAAATCGATATATTACACATCAAAATGTTTTATTTGGTTTGCTAACTTTTTACTTATTACTTTAACTTATTACTTTATCCCTCTCTTATCTTTATAAAATTTTAATATTGATCACAAGTATCTACAAATCGCTGCTACTTCTGGAGAAATGAAACCCAAACCTTAAATTTTGGTTAAGTGCAAGAAACCTCATAATGTAATTATGACACATATGAAGTGCTGGTGAGCTGTGACTAACTGTGGTTGAAGATGAATGCGAGATGTGCTGCTAATCTGATGCTTGAGTCATACTGAAACTTCTCCCCTTCATCTCTCACCTATTGTTTTCCATAAACTCCATGTTTGGGGCCAAACCTAAATATTGAGCGTTATTTTTGTGTGTGATAAACCCTGCTTATTTTGCTTTTTTAAATCTTGACCTTTGTTTGATTATATTAGCACAAATGATTTATCTTTTATCAGAAATGGGCGCATGAAGGCGAAATGACGACAGCCGTAAGAGAAATAATGGTAAAAACAATATTTTCGATTCCTTTATTGCTCTTTTGTGAAAATGCACCTTCGTAGTGCCCCTCTTAAACTTACATCAAAAAGATTATTAAAGAATAACATACACATGGGTGGCTAAAAAACACACATACACAGACAGAGTGACATGCACACTGAAAGATATTGAGATTCACAAAGGCATTTGTTCTTTTCACCTTAATGTTCTCAGTGCTTGGAGAACATCCATTTAGAGCGGCTATGAATTATGGTTGCCAGGCAACGGGACAGAGAGCTTGTAGCTGCAGTGGAGAATGAAAGAGCTAGCTGATGGAATTCATTTTCTCTCAGCATTAGCCTGTTGGAGCTGCTTTCTCTGGTGGAACAGAGAGTGCATTTATGTGCCTCTTACATTTTGCATTCATTTTATAGGTCTCAGAGTTTGCATTGTTTAGCCAGCAGAGATAGTTGAGTGAAATGTGCTTCACCTTACAAAGTATTAGATTAAAAGGAAAATGATCTCTTAAGGTTTCACCGTCCCTGCTCGTTCCATTAAAAATAATGAAAGTAAATGCCGCGCAATGGCTAAATGGATCCCCTAGTTCTGAGAAACGGGGAAGGCTTCTTTTTAAACATATAATGTGAGAGATGAGATCTCATCGGGCCGTTCTGATGAGCTCTGTGATTCGCATAAAATGCAACTAATTTATTGGAAATGCTCAGGTAAGGTTTGCTTTCCAGAAAGCCACATGTCTGCTTAAATAAGCACAAGTTGATGTGTGTAAAATGTGCAAATCTAAACAGAGCTGACAGCGGAGGAGAGAGAGAGGGCGTGAGTGGTAAAGAGCTGAGAGATCGTCCATCATCAGCGCAAAAGCCACTAAATCCTTATCCAGCAGTGGCCTAAATTTAAAAAAAGGAGCAGTAATGGATATGAATCTCCATTTATTGTAAATTTGCAGCAAAGAATACAGTTTGCAGCACACTGCAAAACAGGCACATTTGAGACCTTGAAAGTGCAGTGTGACAAGCCACTTCTGTTAGGCTGCTTTCGCATAGATCATTTACAGTGAAGTTTAATAAGAGACAGGTATTTGCATGCGGTCGTGTAAAATTCAAGCGAGAGCAATTAAACTCTGACATGTCCAAATGACAGATGGTGTAATACGGCTTTAAGCTTTTATACTCCAAATTACCTATGTACTCCTGCATGTCATAAATATTGGGTGTTTTCTTTCGCGTAGACTGTGACAAGCTATTATTACCAAAAAAATAAATAATAATAACAGCGATTTTAAAGCGGATTAACTCGAGAGGAAAGAAATTAATAGCTAAGATTATGCCAGAATATATTTCAAATTCATTCTAATGATCAAAAGGGTAAACAAAAAGCCAGTGTGTCTTTTAGCTTATAAAGATCTACAGTAACACAAGGACATGAAATACACCCTCATTACTCTGCCTGAAAAAAAGTCCTTATCATTGGGCTGTGGTTTTATTACCCTGAGCAAACAATTGGCTCTGATCTAGTCCAGCACTTAAGCTATTTATACCTTTTTAATGGAAACAGAAGGACATGAAAGTGCCCCTGAAGTGACAGCCGGAGTAAAGTAGACATTATTTTCCTCCCTTTAAAATGTCATTGGACTCCATGGAAATCTGGGGTTCTCTCGTCCCTTTCATACGTCTCTGTCGCACACTATAGGCACTATAGGAAGATAAGCATGCAAATAGTCTCCTACTGTACATGTGATTACAGTTTGCCCTGTGATTTAAAGGAAATTGATATCAAATGAGTATAACCTCCTTTGCAACACGGGTCAGTGGATCTGATGAAAAAACTGGCAGCCCAGGCAGCCATTTGTTATTTAAAACTTAAAATGTGCAGAACAGGCTACCTTTAGGGCTTTTGTCTGTGACCTTGTCACGTGACCTCTATTCATCCCTGGCAAGCCTTTGTCCTCTGTGTAGTGGAGATTAATGGTGAGCTCAGATAATAAATACCATCACAACCTCACTCTGACAAACGCGATTTGAGTTTTTTTCAGCAGCCATGTTGATCCTCTTGCCGTAAAGTTTTATTCGTTGGGAAATTTCGCTTGTTATTGCAGCATGACTAAACAATTTGTCTTTGATTGCACTCTTAGTTACTGCCAGACAGCTTGTCCTGCCTCTAAGTTTTGTTTTACCAAGAAATAGAAAGGTGACCTTTATCAGCATGCGTGGTTTTAAGTTGAAATGTGTTTTCTACTCAAAACTGACCACATTGTCTTATTACCCACACAAGGTGGTGATTTGAGTTTTTTTCAGCAGCCATGTTGATCCTCTTGCCGTAAAGTTTTATTCGTTGGGAAATTTTGCTTGTTATTGCAGCATGACTAAACAATTTGTCTTTGATTGCACTCTTAGTTACTGCCAGACAGCTTGTCCTGCCTCTAAGTTTTGTTTTACCAAGAAATAGAAAGGTGACCTTTATCAGCATGCGTGGTTTTAAGTTGAAATGTGTTTTCTACTCAAAACTGACCACATTGTCTTATTACCCACACAAGGTGGGTATTGTCTGGTTAAATAACAGAAAAAGTCCCCCTCAAGAAAATACAGATGTTTCAAAAGAAATCGAGTGGGAAGGGGTATAATACAGAAAACACCGAGCGTATTAATGAGGTGTGTGTGATGGTGAACGCATTTCGCTGAAAAATGAAACTTCCTCCTGTCCATTAACATTGTAATGGTTAAACCCCCTGAAAAGTTGAACAGTTTTCCACTGCAATCTTTTTTTTTTCCAGCCATTTCATGAGAACTTGACATTTTCACCAGTGTCAGTTTATGATTAGTCAGTTAACCGCTAAAACCACACGGATTGGAGAATTTCCTCGCTATTGCTGTGTAATGTTGTCATGTCTTTAGTCCTTTACATCCAATCAACTGCTTTCAGATACATGCTGAATTCTCGGAAATGAATAGTTTTTCTGATGCTCCATGACATGACATAAAAAAACGCTTTCAAGTATTTAACTGATTAATCAAGTTAAACATATGAAAGTCTTATTGTTGGCTAAAAATTAAAGCAGAAATTCATTTTTTAAATTAAACAGTATAAGTAAAAATATATACAGTATCACTTAATTGAAATAAAAAAATGTAGTTAAAAAATGTATAAAAAATTTATTTAAAAAAAGCACTGGCAACCATCCAGAACACCCTAGTATCATGGCAGTGACTTAAGCATCACTCAACATATTGTGTGGATGGCACAACATGTAATGCATTTTTAAATATTAGACACTGCATTTCCCTGTGTGACTGTCAATGTCTGACAGTATGAAATATGTTAAATCTTTGCATTAGCATTATTCAGTGCTCTCACAGGCTCTCTTCGAAATAAGAGATGTTAGAAAGCAATTTCAGAATGTTTTGAGTAATGAGGTCCAGTGTGTCTGAAGTGTTCATGCGGGGAGGGAGACATATAGTCACCTGTCCTTCAGAGAAATGCCCGTGGCTTCAAACCCCAAAGCTCCACCTGTCGGGGGCATTGTGTTGCATACAATGGTGGGCGTGGGGTACATTTCAGGTCACCTGTTGCTTCAGACAGTATCAGGTGACGGACTACAGCTACAGGGCTTGTCCTTGTCGGAAGTGATTTATCCCCCAGATACAGTGTACAAAAGCAATGTTTCTACACTCTGCTACAGACTACACTCTTAAAAATAAAGGTGCTTCACGATGCCATAGAAGAACCTTTTTGTCTAAATGGTTCCATAAAGAATCTTTAACATCTGAAGAACCTTTCTATTTCACAAAAGGTTCTTTGTGGCGAAATAAGGTTCTTCAGATTACAAAAACGCAAGAAAGAGATGGTTCTTTAAAGAACCTTTGACTGAATGGTTCTTTGTGGAACCAAAAATGGTTCTTCTATGGCATCGCTTGAAGAACCTTTTGAAGCACCTTTATTTTTAAGAGTGTAGCATTCACTGCAGCAGGATGGTGAAAATCCAAACCAGTCATAAGGTATGGATGGAGACATTAGTGCTAGTTAACACTTGGATTATGCTTGTATGCATAGGTAGACCTTTAAGGGATTTCTATTGTAACAGTTCTGTTTAGCTGAGGTTAGTTTTAATAAGAATATAACTTTTTACTTTGTAAAAGAATATTTCAGGTTCAGTACAAGTTAAGCTTAATCAACAACTTTTGTGACATAATGTTGATTACCAAAAATAAACAAATAAATAAATAAATTTGTTATATTCTTAAAAATTATTTAAAAAAGGATTACAGTGAGTCACTTGCAATGGAAGTGAATGGGACCAATTCGCATATGTTAAAATACTCAATGTTTCATTAGTATAGGCACAAGGAATAAACAGCATGATCTTAATGTGAAGAAATCACAATTTTATCATTTTACAACTTCATCGCCATGGCTATGTAATTTCATAAATCCTAAATCCTTAAAATGATAATTATGATTTAAACAACTTTACAGCTCAAACAATGCAGTTTTAACAGAAAAATTTATATAAGTGCTTTTGAAGTGTATATATATATATATATATATATATATACTTCAAAAGCACTTACATAAATGTTCAATGTTATAAGAAATATGGGTATGTGAACTGTTTTCATCCGATACCGAAAGTACTGAAATAACTTTATTTCTTTCTCAAAACATTTTTCTTCATTTGAGAACATTTTCAAATGTTTCTCATATTGTTTCATTGGAAGACACTGTGCAAAGATGAAAATTACTGTGCTTTTGAATCAACATTTCTGACTATTTTAATCATTTAATTATTCATTTCTATGAAACAGTTCAATAAAATTAACCTGGAAAGCATTATTTTCCTGACTGGCAAGTATGTCAGTTATATTTCCCAGAAAAGCTAACCAAGGCATGAAACATTTAGCTTGTAAGAAATTAAGAATATATATTTAAGAAAACAGTAGTCAAGTTGATTTTGCTACAACATTATGCTACAAACTTTAATTCAACTGACAGACTTTCACCTTGCAACCAACAGAATGGCTTGAGGTTCAGTTTATTTGAAAGATTTATTTGGAAATCTAGGTATTTTTGTTTTAAATGAAGTTTTATTTTAATATTCCAGATGCAGCAAATGGTCAACTCAGACTCACGTTACGGTGGCCATCCTCAGGTGGACACGCTCAGACCCAGGGTCCAACCTGGCATGGTTCCTCAAGGTCATCTGACCACTATCAACCAATCACAACTCAATACTCAGCTGGGTCTGAATAACAACAATGGCACCCATGGATCCCCATCTCCACCAGAGAGCAAGTCAGCCACACCCTCCCCCTCCAGCTCCGTGCATGAGGACGATGCAGATGATGCTGCCAAGGTGAGAGAGAGAGTGTGTTTCCCATTCTATGATCTCATGAATATAAAAGCTTATCTTCCTCACACACACACGGTCACATAGACTATTTTATGCACTGTGGCAAAATAGAGTGTATTAAAAGGAATGAGTCACTGCTGACCTTTCAGCAAGTTGTTCTGCCATGTTTCCTTAAACATAGATTTGCTAAGACACTGATCTGCCTCAAGTCTGTTCTTCACAGCCAAAATACCGCACATTTTCTCCAAAACTCACATCAGTACTGATCCTCTGGAAAGTGTGGTCGTTTATGTGCTCTGCTAAGATATTTTTGTGTCTTGTTTCCTAACATAGAAGACACGGCTCAGCATTAAAATGTCCAAATTACACAATTACGAGCTACTTGTGTTTATATGAAGTGACACATTCTGAAATTTCAGTCACTTAAATTAAAATGTCATGGAAATGTTTATAGTTAGGATTGTTATGATTATGAAGCTTTAGGCTGGTGACTAATTTTAATCATAAAAGTAATTAAATTAATTGTCTGTTTAGATCATTTAACAGTCACAGTGTTAAAGTGTAAACTTAACATATATACACCTTAAGAAATACATTTTCACACTGAACATTTTGTGATTTAGTTTAAAGCTTTCTAATAAATATTTAATATTTAGATGTATTTAAACTATTAAAATGGCGTATATAATAGTTTATATATACTGTATATCTATAATAAAATATTTTATTTGTCATTTTTTAATGCAAAAATTACTAGTAAAATATGCATTTTATAGTATTTCTACATGCACTTAAAATTCCCTTATTTGGTTAGGCATATCTTTTAAAGTGAACAGATCAGCAAACTCAGATAAACAGGCGATTATGTCAATCACAACGCCCTATGGCTGCTGCATATTAAAAATAATATTTCATTGTCTAGAAATTGTTCTTTGCAACTGCAGGCTTTACATAAATAGTTATCCAGTGATCACAAACAACTGCAAACGTCATGGAAAATTATGGGTGAAAATGCGTGGGAACCCGGTATATACGAATAATGCACGATAGTCATTAAAATTTAAAAAACAGCTCCAGGCTTTGGAGACATGGTTCACTAACTAGCTTTAGGAAGTTGATTCATTCATAAAGCTGTTATTATGGCTTAATCTCATTGGATATCTATTGTTTACTCCTCGTTTTTCAGGTGAATGGGGCAGAGAAGAGAGCAGCCACAGACATGGCCAAGAAGCCCAAAACCCCCAAGAAGAAGAAGAAGAAAGACCCCAATGAGCCTCAGAAGCCAGTGTCAGCCTACGCCCTGTTCTTCAGAGACACACAGGCAGCTATAAAAGGCCAAAATCCTAATGCCACATTTGGGGAGGTTTCCAAAATAGTGGCCTCCATGTGGGACGGTCTGGGCGAGGAACAGAAACAGGTGACCTTCTCTCTTTAATAAACCTTGCTCATGTGCAAATGTAAAAATTTTTCCTTTATCTTATTGCAATCTTGTGGCTGACTCATAAAGACTGAGGTAATACAGCAGGAATTAGATTACTGTGTTTCTATACACGCAGCACATGTTTTCTTTATTAGCTAAGGTATTATCTACAATATATACAATAGTATATCCACATAAAGATTCGTTATAACAGCGGATGCAATGATGCACATGTTGGTCAGAACATTTGTTGATTTCCCCTTGTGCAATCGGAGAATAACATTGCCTCCGCAGTGGTGTTGTGGTCTAACATCAGCATGGGTGTGCATGTAGGGGAAGTCTTAAAGTCAGGTGTGAAAACAGTGCAATATATGAGATTTTTTTTATTATTATTGGAACATAACAAACAAAGGTTTTGTGGGGTCTGCTAGTCGCTTTATCAAGTTTCGGTACACATTTGGCATGAATACAGTCTGTAATGTAGTATGCTACAGCATTGTTGTTTTCAGCATTTTTTATTGTATTCTGAAAAGGTTTTAAAGTTGCTTTTCAAGTTACTTAAGACTATTTGAAATTAATAGTCCATCATTAATAGTTCAGTACTTAAAACATTTCAAGAAACTAAAACAAAAAATGCATAGTTTATCCCAAAATTACTAAACAATACAAAGTAAGATATTTTGAAGTACATTTCAGCTGTTTTTTTGTTCATGTAATGAAAGTCAATAGGGTCCAAAACAACACTGGAACCCACTGACTTTAACTGTATGGACAAAAAAACAGTGAAACAAAATATCGGCTTTTGTGTTCCACAAAAGATAGAAAGACAGAATTGGAATGACAAAAGGATTTTCAGTTTGAGTACTTTTAAGGTACACATTAGATCATGCAGTCAAAAAACAATTACTTTTCATTTGCTCTGCATTACAACAAATGTGTATGTCAAAGTGTTATATTAGCACTTATGTAGTACAGTAAATACCCTTGAAATGTTTAATATCCTCATTAAGGTTCCTTTTCAGATTGAAAGCAGTGACGATAAAAAGGATTAGCACTTATGTTAACACCTAGACTGTTTTTTAGGTGTGAAGAATGACATGACTACGAAAGCTGCTTCTGATTTCAGAATAAACACAACTGAAAGTACCCATTTCTCTCACCAAAGCCAACAGAGAGCATCTACAGTCATAAAAAGCTGTTTTCTTTTTTGTAATCATTTATTTTGTGCTCTTTTCACTATGTAAAACACTCAGCCGGTGAAGCTGATGAAAACGCTTAAAAGTACTTTTACTCAGGAGAGGATGTTTGCCTGATAAAAGAACATCATGTCTCTCTGCCGTTTTTTTTTCTTTCTCTATCTCTCTTCTTCTGTTGTCTTTTTTAGTAGAGGTCTATTGGTTGAGGTTATAACAGCACAGATGTATTGATGGGCAAATAATTACACATATGCCTCAACTGAAAGAATTATGGGAAATATGGACAGTCCATAAAGGCAGAAGAACAAGCGATGGATAAAGTGGGCTGCACTTAAGCACCATTTCAGTGCTCCACCAACAATTACGCATTATGGCTCATAAATGGACTGCCATTAGATCCCATTTCTAAGAATAATTGTGCACAGGAACATGAAGAACAGCTTTTCTTTCTCTATCTCTCTTCTTCTGTTGTCTTTTTTAGTAGAGGTCTATTGGTTGAGGTTATAACAGCACAGATGTATTGATGGGCAAATAATTACACATATGCCTCAGCTGAAAGAATTATGGGAAATATGGACAGTCCATAAAGGCAGAAGAACAAGCGATGGATAAAGTGGGCTGCACTTAAGCACCATTTCAGTGCTCCACCAACAATTACGCATTATGGCTCATAAATGGACTGCCATTAGATCCCATTTCTAAGAATAATTGTGCACAGGAACATGAAGAACAGCTTTGGCCTCTTAATATATATTTTTTTCTTTGTTTGTTTATTTTATCATGGCAGATGTACAAGAAAAAAACAGAAACCGCAAAGAAGGAGTACCTCAAACAGCTGGCTGCATACAGAGCGAGCCTTGTGTCTCAGGTAAATGACTCTGGGCTATGGATATGGGTACATGCTTTAAAACAGTGACGTTTAAGAAGGGACATTTCGAGATGTTCCTGTTTGGCAGTTTAGAGATGTTTTTGAGACGGCTTGAGTAATAAATAGACTCCCTTTGCACGCCTAAATGGAAAAATTATGAAGAAGCCGTGAAAAAAAAAATCTCATGCTATCGTAGCTTGCAAGAAATCCTATATTTAATATATATAATGTGTTGCAACATTTAAGGCATGCAACCTGAATGGAAATATTACAAGCAGGATTGAGCGGAACATACAGAGAAATCTAATATTAAATATATATTTGTATTTTATATATATTTTATATACAAATCTAAATCTACAAATTAATATATATTTTATGTATTTGAAATTGATCAAATCTGTACATTCATATAATTTATTTTATATATATTTTAAAATAAATATTTATTAGTATAGTATATACAAATACATTTTAAAAGAACATTTAGGTCATACAACATTCATCAGGCATTTAAAAAGCAGAGAATGACACAAAGCAGTGCTTCAAATTTCTTGATTAATCCAAAGAAGCGTGTTTAACATTTATGCAACCAACAACTAAAACACTTCTTTAACTTTCTCTAGAGCTACAATGACCTAGGCGATGTGAAGGCATCACAGGCCTCTCACATGCTCGGACCCAAGCCACCAGTTTTCTCCGGGGCAGGCCAGTCTCACCCAGGTCTCTACATGGCTCCTCCGTACCACCAGCAGCCAGGAATCAGTCCCCACCTGCCCCCGATGCAGCCAGGCCTAGCCCGAGGTGGTGCATCCCGGCCCAATGCTCCCATGCCAGGAGCGGTGAGCATGGGCAGCATGACGGGCTCGTCCCCCCCTCCGCTGCAGATCAGCCCCCCCTTACACCAGCACCTCAGTCTCCACCAGCAACAACAGCAGCTCAGCAGCCACCCGCTGCCCATGCACTCCCCATCCATGGCCCAGGTGAGACATATACTGATAGTTTTCACAATCAGTAATGTACTTCTTTCATTTTAGATAATTTTGAGTCAAGACTTGTATATTTAAAATAAGTTCCTATATATACACAATACCATTCAAAAGAAAGAAAGAAACTGAAAGAAATTCATAACTATACTCAGCAAAGATGTAATAAATTGCACAAAAGTGACAGTAATGACATTTATATAAAATAATTCTATTTTAAATAAATGCTGAACGTTCTTCTGAACTTTCTAGTCATCAAAGAAAAAAGTAGCACTGCATCCAGAAAAATATTAATCAGGACAACTGTTTTTAAAATGAATAATAATAAGAAATGTTTTTGAGCACCAAATCAGCATATTACAATGATTTCTGAAGGATCACGTGACACTGAAGACTGGAGTAATGGCTTCTGAATAAATTCCATTGTAAAAGAGGAAACAGTTATTTTAAATTGTAGTAATATTTCAAAATATGACTGTTTTTACTGTATTTATTTATCAAATAAGCACAGCCTTGGTGAGCATAAACTTTTAATAATTTTCATAAGTGTGGGTCAGTAAGGTAGATTTAGTCTTAAAAAGCTACATTTAATGTAAAAATATATTTATCTAATATATTCAGTTAACTTTTTGATTGTAAACATTCAAAAACATAAATATTTAAATTAATACTTTCTAACAAACTTAAAATCAGCATGAAATTGACTTCATTTAATTTAATTAATCTAAATTGACCTCAGTTTAATTGATAAATGCTGTATAATATCTTGGACTTCATGTGAACGGTTCACCCAAACCAAGGACCGCTCATATAGAGAGCACTTTTCACCATCCAATCAATTCCTAATGGATAGCATCAAGCCCCTCCCTTTATTTTAATTTTTATTTTAATGTGAAATATATCACATTCTGAAGCTAAAATAGGTTGCGAACTCTATTTCATGTTGAATTTAATCAAGACAGACATTAGCGGTCTTTTCACTGTTAAAAGCAAGACCAAAAAGAGGCAAGACAGACACCAGGCAAGGCCAATTAAAGGATCTGTTCCCCCACCAATCTATTTTCCATAAACCTCTCCGAGAACCCGCCTTGTCGGATTCTTCTCCAATTTCCATTATACATTATCATGGAACAGATAGTGAAGCATATATGTGTGTGTATGAATTTGAAAGTGGAGGAAGTGCTGTTTATGCAGCAGATGCAGCACCGTTTCATTTTTCATCATTTCCGGCCCCTTCAGCCTATCTCTCGCACCGGCGAATGAGGTCAAGAGAGGAACCATTCATATCTGCCAGCTTGTTTTATGTCCACGCCGAGCAAAAATTCCCAGCATATCACACAGACAGATTTTCAATTTTCTTTCTGTAATAAACAGATGCATTAGGATTTGGATGTGACTTATGGTTTCACAAAAAAAAACTCACATTGAGATTGATGAATACATCAGTGTGGAAGACAAACCCCTCAGCTATCTGATGAAAACAGTTTTTCAGACTGGGCCGAAGGAAATGAAATTAGTTCTCTGCTAAAGTGTATAGGAGGAGAAGGCTGGTTTTTGAGGACGTAGACAACAAAAAGCAAAGCAAAGAAAGCAAATAAAGCCTCTACACATTCACACACACACACAAAAAAATCGAAATAAAGAGAAAACGACCTCTTTTGAAATAACATTCACTGTGTTTATTGCCTCTCCTGCTTTAACGTGGGAGGAGGAAGAGCCCTACGTTAAAACTCAGCCTCATTATTAGCATCAGTGCTATTTAAACCCTCGTTCCTCTAATAGAGATCTCAAGCAAGAGGTGGTTAAAGAGAGGTTTGAAGCCCAAGTCTTCTTAAGCACTCGCGGTGATGGCGAGAACACCGTTAAGAGTTCGTGTTGAAGGTCTCAATAGCCTTGAGTTGCGCTGGAACTTCAGTGGGATTGAGATGAGGTTGTAATAAGGTCCTAATGAATAGCACCCTTGTGCCTGGAAGCTCTTTAAGAGATGAGCATCAGCTGGGAGGCAGGACTGACTGGTGCTGGAGAGAAGGAGAGGGCGGAGAATCACATTGTCTTGGGGTAAACAGGGATTAGCTTCATAAAGAGAGATGAATCAGGTGGTCAGGAGAACAGGTGACATGCTATCCAATGACAGCAGTTTAATCTTTCACCGCGTTGATGTTGAGTGACGAGCTGTTTGTGTTTGAATTGTGTTTTTTGGTAGGAATCATTAAGGAAATACATGGCAACGTATAGATTCCATCAAGGACGAAACCGAAAAACATATTTCCAATTCAAACTGTTGCTGCAAAAGTTCGCCATTCACATCTGAATATGAAAGGCCTATTGTTGTAAGTTTCTCTTCCTGTGCCCGCTGGGAATTCTGGGAAATGTTGTATTTAAAAGAGCAACTGCTCGATTGAATTTCATGTGCTTCTTTTTTATCACTCCTCGGCAGGAAAATTAACTATTGCTGTGGATGATCATCGTCGTAAGGCAAAAAAAAGTGTCTTAATTTTCATGCAGATTATAGTGTGAATTTGTCTGAAGTCCAATTTTAGATTACCACAGGGCTCCTTGTATGGCTGTGTCAATCTTTTGGAGGAGAGTACGAATGCTTAAACTTGGCTTTTCTCTCCTCGGTTTGGGGAGTTCTTAAGCCTGTTCCACAGATCCTGCCTTTATGGGAGAATTTTTAAATCCAAAGAGGAGTAATAATCCTCATTCATTTTTGCATATTTTTGGAGAGCAAACACAAACGCGCAGTTCAACTTTTTCGGTGAGCCGAGGCGGGCTGGGGGGAGGTGGGGCGGTGTTGGGGGGGGGGAGGGGGGGGGACACAAAGGGGCAGATGGGGGCTACCCCTGACTACTGCGGCAATGGGTGAGCGGACACTAGCGAAATCAATCACTATCATTCAGGAAAAAAAGCTAATTTCTGCGACAGCCATTTTGACTCGTTCGTATTTCCCTCCACAGAAATCTGCAGAGGGACAAAGCCCTGTACCTGACCTGATCGACATGTCCAACCGCACGCTCCTTCACGCTCACAGGACCAAGGCAGTTCCTCATCCCAGTACAGCTATTCAGGGCCTGTTTGTTCAGGCCTTATTTTAGACTAGACACAATCCACGCATCAGCAAACCAACGTTTGAATGTTTTCTTTCTCATGGCTCACACTTTAGTGCACCCTACCGTGGTGGCTTTGGAATTTGTATCTCCTTCTAGCTTCTGACATTCAGACATTTTGGATCTTTAAAATAGAGTTTAAATCATTGAAAGCATGAACATGTAAATTGTATGCTAAAATTAGTTTAAATGCAATCACCTCTCTAATTATATTGACTTTTAACGCCCTTCTATTGTTCCGCATCCTCGTTGCGTACCTAATAAGAGGCCGTGTATGGAAACCCCCTGTAGACATGTGTTTTATTGGAGATTGCTCATGGTTTTTAAGAAGTTGCGAAGGTCAATTTGCCTCGCAGGAAGGTTGTGTCAATCCATCAGTTTCTAAGCACTTACCGCTGCGTGTCAGAGACTCCAAGCTCTCGCTGACAAACGGCGGAACGAAAACCAAAACAGAACTTGTACAAAGAAGAAAATCACAATCCGCAAAAAGAAAAGAAAAACAAAAAGCCACAAAAAAAGAATGCAGATGATATGACTCCTGCGTCTCACCCCACTCCTCTTTCTCGTCGTATCATTCTTCCTCTCTGTAATGATCTTTTCTAGTCAACTGCCTTAGAAACAGAGTTCTGTTGTAAGTATAAAACAGTCGCTCATAGGAACGTTATAAATGGCCGGACGGGTTGTTTCACGCAGCCCTCGTTTCAAGCTGTAAATAGAATCTGTGTTACTCCTAGAGTATAAGAATTCAACTTTTTTTTCTAGTAACAATGTGATTTTGAATTGGACCACACCAGTTCGTTTAAAACTCGAAAAGGGAGAATTAGCCAAGAGGGCTAAGTTCTTGGCAGCGGAAGTCGCTGTTGATTAGACCGACAAAAGAGACTAAAAAAGTATTCTTTTCCCAAGTTTAAGAACGTAAAGGTTGATGGCATCAACCAGCGAGGTAGCATGAAATGATTCATTAAGGAAAGTACTAAAGAAAAGTTTATTTTGTATTACGCAAAATACTTCTTTTGTATCACTTCTGGCATATTGATTAATGTCATCCAAACTATGTGTATGAAACTGTCAGATGCTTATATGGTGTTAATTAGAAGAAACAGTGGCAGATTGGAGAGTTGCTGTATAACCCTGGCATATGGCTGATCATTTACTATTCCTCTACACTGTGTCTATATGAGATCTTTTTATGGTACTTGTTTGCGCCTATTTATGAAGGAAAAAAATAACTGTAGGTGTTTTTTGAGTAATTATGTTAGAGTTCCAGGGATGTTTTTCTGTTCATTTGTTTTGACAGAATTGATCCAGGCAACAATGTGAATAATTCCTATTTAGTTTTTATTGTGTTTGAAAATAAATAAAGGCAAACCTGCATTTTTGTGCAGTAATTAATCAACGAGTGTCACGAGTGTTTCATTACGAGGAATTCAGGGCAAAATATTTGTATTGAATGTTATTTGAAACATTTATAACCTCATAATTCCTCTGCCAGGAAAAAGGTCAAGCTTAAGTTTATGTATAATGAACACTAATTCACTTTCACACTCATATCTCATATCTGGGTCACAGTGTTGTTGATGCAGAGTGTAATAATAACAATCCATTTTCCAACCATGAACACAGCACAAATAAACCTCCCAATGTCAAGAGCACATTCCTGCCCTGCCATACAGCTGCCTAAGACTGATTTTTCTAAGGTTTTTACATATTGATCTCCCTCGAAAAGGTGCTTACTTCGTGTCATTTAAGTCATTGTTTTCCTAAAGTCCCCATTATACATAGAAATAACAGTAATCTAATGGTACATCAGAATTTTGTCCTATTTATGTCAATGTTCCCAAAACTATTTATATAGTTATTTATATTGTCAGGAGAAATACTTTGTTGTATGCTATATAGTTATCTATATAACATCCAACAAAGTATCTCTCCTGACAATATCATCCACCACTCAAAATGAACAGACCTAAAATAGTAGGTTAATTATTTAGACTTGTTCAAAAATTCTGGATTGTGAAAGTACAAATCATAAAACAATTATGTACAGCCTAGAGTGTTTTTGTTAGTTGTAGTTTGAGGTAAAGCAAGGTCAAAGTTAGGTTCTGTAAACAGAAATGAATTTCCTTATGACCTAAAACCCTATTTGGACAATGTGTGCCTTAATGGACTTTGTATAGGAGTGTCACTAGAAGCTAAAGACATATTAATACACTATAATCTTTATTATGACTGCCTTGCTGTTTTTGAAAACGACAGCTCCTTGGCATGGAGTTCATGTTTAGTGATGGGGAAATATTGCCATCTAGTGGCCAAAGGCAGAATAGCAGCGGGCCTATGGCGTGATCTCTGGCGAGGCGACAAATGCTAATATTATTCATATATGATTTCCCATTAAAAGATGATTCATATTCCAGTTAAACCTGATTTAACGACAGGTAAACGTTCGGTATGAGTAACAATGTGATTTACCAAGGTGACTCTGCGGAGCTAACAGATGGAGCAATAGGTGACTAATGTTACTCTGTACTGATCCTTATCACTTCATCCAAAACAAAGAGTTAAAGAAAGAAAAACAGAAATCCACCCCCTGAAACCACCCTTTCCTACTTGCTCACTGTCCAAAAACAGTTGATAAAGTGTCCAAGCACCAAAAATGAAAAGAAAAGAGTAAACAGCTGTATGTTTTGCCTTTAATTGAAATCCTTAACTACCTTTAACTCCCCTGATCAGAGCTATAATGTAAACTACCAGCACTTTGTTTCTCTGTGAAAAGACTGGCAATAAACACACAAACTGAAGATCTGTTAAAGGGATAGTTCACCCAAAAATAATTTACTCATCCTCCACTTGTTCCAAACCTGTGTGACTTCCTTTTTTCTGCTGAACACAAAAGAAGATATTTCAAAGAACGTATCCAAACAGCTGATGGTCCCCATTTACTTCTAGAGTTATTTTCCCATATCATGGAAGTCAATGAGGAACATCAGCTGTATTCTTTAAAGACAGAAATTCATGCAGCTTTGGAAGAACTTGAGGTTGAGTAAATGATGACAGAATTTTCATATTTGGGTGAAATATGTCTTTAATGCTTATTCATGGTTCCCTGACTCTTCATAAAAACGAACAAGTTAAAGCACTGAGAAGCCAAATCTGCCAAGCTTACAAATTAGAAGGGCTGAATCCTAATTCACCTACTTCCACTAATTACAAACTGCACATACTTAAAAGGAAAAGTATTTTTTCAGTATGTATGATCATGATGAGACCATTTAAAATACATCTGTGTGTTCCCTACTCTAATACAAGCGGTTGTGGGCAATATTAAAAAGCATGAAAACACACACACACACACACACACACAAACCCCGATATTGTATGGCAATCATGCAGCTTTGACATAGTATTTTTACAATATTGTTGTTTTGGACATACTAATCCTAATCTTGTGTGCTTCAAAGCAGGCTCAGTCTCAGGAAACAGCAAACATCAATTTGTGTCGGCATTACTTACTATTGATATAATTAACAGGAAACATCTAATCAGATCCTGAACAAATATTTACACTATTGTTCATAAGTTTGAGGTCAGTAAAGTCTTTTCATGTTGCTCCATGTCCTCGAGGCTGCATTTATTTGATCAAAAATACAGTAAAAACTGTAATATTGTGAAATACTAATTATTTGTCTTTACTGTCACTTTTGACCAATTAAATGCATCTTTATTGAATAAAAGTATCAATTAAAAAATCTTACTGACCCCAAACTTTTGAACACTGGTGTACCTAATTTAGCATTTATTTAAAAAATGTAAATCATGTTTCCACTAACCGTAGACATAAATACAATTCTTTCTTTTTAAGAAAATGCATAATTTGTCTCCTACTTCAAAACAGATGTGAGTCTTATAGCCTTTAAAAGTTCGGTATTGCAATTATTGCAATTTTGAGGAAAAAAGAATGACAGTTACAGGTTTACATAAATGTGGTAAGATGATACTTCCTTATTAAGGTCATTACTAGTCAATTTTGCCATACCTTCAACCATGAAAGTAACAGACATGCCAAAGCCATTATACTACTAGACTTTACTGTAGTGCTTAAGGAATAGCATTAATTATGAAAACAACTATCATTAGCTTAAATCACAAATGGCACCATGTTCTAAGAATGAGCCAGCAGAGTTTCTGGAAGTGCTGGGTGACTCCAGCAACAGAAACACAACTATGTAGGAAATAAAAGATACCAATTCAACCAGAGTCCATCTCTTGTTGAAAATAATTAATCAGTTTTACTTTTACAACAACAACAAAGTCTGATGTTTTTGATGCCACTGATGCCACTGTTCTGATCTTTATTTGACTGGCTTTGCAAAAGTTTTTTTGATAGCAACCTGTTTGAGCTTGCCCATTGTGTAATCCTGTTGTCCTCACCAATTAATACTGTTGACACTCTACTGAAAAGGGAAAAGGGAGGGCTTGCAGCTGCATATTAAGTCATTTATGTCTTGTTTCAGCAGTGCATGTGTACCAACTTCCACTATTAGAGATAAAAACACTCTGCTTCAAATTCTCTATATGCAGTACCACAATATAACCTTTTCTTTTCATCAGAAGCAACATTGAATTCTCTCATCTGTACGAGTACACAAACCACATGGGCTATAGATAAATGTGATGGCACATTCTACACTCAAAACACTTACTTTACCCCCTAAACTGCTTATGTGGGATACAATTAGAAGCATATTCTTCATAAAACTACTTGTTTATTCAATCTTTGCATGCAATTTAGTGTGTGTTTGTTTGTTTGTGTGTGTGTGTGTGTGTGTGTGTGTGTGTGTGTGTGTGTGTGTGTGTGTGTGCCTAACGTCAGGTTGCTCCAGGGGGCCTGTCACTGTAATTAGTGTACTGAAAATCACTTTTTGTGTGTGTGTGTGTGTGTGTGTGTGTGTGTGTGTGTGTGTGTGTGTGTGTGTGTGTGTGTGTGTGCCTAACCTCAGGTTGCTCCAGGGGGCCTGTCACTGTAATTAGTGTACTGAAAATCACTTTGGATGAAAGCATCTGCTAAATGACAGCTTGATGTTTACTTTCTTACTAACTATAAATCTGAACACAAACACGTTCTTTAACACTGCCTATCAATCCTTAAAGATAACAGATGTAAAAAAAAAAAAAAATGAAAAAGACTGCATATGGAAAACATGTTATTAATACAAACTCCATTTTAATATTAAAAATTGCTAACTAAATGTGAAAACAATTAGTTCATATGTTACAGTGAAAAATGCTGTATTTGAGGATTTCCTGCAAGGTCATACATAGCACAGCATAGCATTTCATTTCAAATACATTTCTAGTAGAAGTGTTCAACATTGATATCAATAATAAATGTTTCTTGAGCACCAAATCAGCATATTAGAATGATTTCTGAAGGATCATCTGGCATTGAAGACTGGAGTAATGATGCTGAAAATTCAGCTTTCAGCCATCACAGGAATACATTTAAAAATATATTCAAATAAAAAACAGCAATTTTACATTTTAATAATATTGCACAATATTAAAATGTTTTTAAAAAAACATTTTACCATCAACCCCAAAACACGTTCTTTAACACTGCCTATCAATCCTTAAAGATAACAGATGTAAAAAAAAAAAAAATGAAAAAGACTGCATATGGAAAACATGTTATTAATACAAACTCCATTTTAATATTAAAAATTGCTAACTAAATGTGAAAACAATTAGTTCATATGTTACAGTGAAAAATGCTGTATTTGAGGATTTCCTGCAAGGTCATACATAGCACAGCATAGCATTTCATTTCAAATACATTTCTAGTAGAAGTGTTCAACATTGATATCAATAATAAATGTTTCTTGAGCACCAAATCAGCATATTAGAATGATTTCTGAAGGATCATCTGGCATTGAAGACTGGAGTAATGATGCTGAAAATTCAGCTTTCAGCCATCACAGGAATACATTTAAAAATATATTCAAATAAAAAACAGCAATTTTACATTTTAATAATATTGCACAATATTAAAATGTTTTTAAAAAAACATTTTACCATCAACCCCAAACTTTTGAACAGTAGTAGAACAGCTACAGGGCTGGCTCTATATTTGCGACTGAAAACTACTGCGTGCGACTATGAAATAATATTTAGGAGCACCTGTGCGACTGACCCGATCAGCATATTTGTGTTTGCGCTGAGGGAGCGTTGAGGAATGTATCACAGACATATCCTCTCATTATAACAAACACAGTGTTGACGGGGTGTAAATAAGAGATTCATTGTGCAGTGTAGAGAGCTTCGTCGATTATAACGCAGCTTTGTGAGATCGGGATAAACTAAGATGAG